CCCTGAGTTTTTGGCGTCCCTCCTTCGACAGTGGCGTGCGCATACGCAGCGCCAGATAATTTGCTATGTGTGTGGGCGGCTCCCACTCCGCGGAACGCTGGTTGCGCAAGTCCTCCAGGTCGAACAGGGGTTGTCCCTGTGCCTCCCCCGGAGCAGCGTCCGACCCAAGCGCTGTGGAGGTCAGATCCTTCTGGGCTCCCAGTTCAAAAGGTGTGTCTGTCTCTCTCTCTCTCTCTCAGACCCTGCCTCATCATAGGAGGCGTAGCCAGGGGTGTCGGAAACCTCCATCTCCTCACTCCGGTCGGAGTCCGGCCAATCTTCCAGGGCTCGTGCCCGCTTCCATGATCTGGCTCGCGGCACACAGAGCCCGCGGCTGGTCTGACAGCGTGTGAAACCAGCCGCACAGGGAAAAACTCCTGCGGCTAATTAAACCGAGCGCGGTGGCTCTCCCAAGGTAGGGGAGACCGCCGGCTCCCCAATGCAGTTGAAGCCGCGAATGAAGGAGGGAATGACAGTGGGAGAACAGAGGTAAAGGGGAACTCAGGGAGGTCCCCCAAATCACCGGTACCTCGGTGAGGGTGGTCTGGGCATACACCAGCCAACCAAAATAAAATACAATATTAAACTGAAGAAAATGGGTACTTAACTGTCTGAGGGAGCAGCAAGAAAGAGGAGGAGCAAGATATGACAGCTTCCTTTCGAAGGGACACCGTGACATGATTGGCTGCCACTGTTCATAGGCAGATCTAAATGTTATTGTTAAATGTATTTCGTTTTTCTCTCAACTATTTTTGCTGCAGGTAATAAGAATGAGATTGCATATATGAGCCTCCGTGTCTGTAATAAAATTGAGTGTCCCTCCCTGAGGGAACCTGGCAGTGCTGTTTCTCCAAAAAAAAAATTACTTTTCTTCTACTGAGAGTACAGGATGGCCCACACCCCTGTTGTCTATGGAGGCCCTGCTTATCCTATTGCAGGCCTTCCTTCCAGGTTACCCATTGGGATAAATCCTTCAACTCGCTGCTCCAGGGCGAGCAGGCTGCTTAGGAGGGGCTGGTGCAGGAGGTGCAGACCAGGAGTGGACATTGGGCCCGCCGTTCGAGACTGCAGATGCTGTGGAAGTCGAGGTGGCTGGGCCTGGGCGGCAAGATGGCGGTCCCCAAGATGACGGCGGATGCGAGGTGAGGTCCCGCAGTCCTCACCCTTCTCTTCCGGTGGCTGCGGAAGTGATGTCTGCATGTTGTCACAGGCCTCCGCCGAACCCGGAAGTCCCAGAGCACCGCTGGCCCCTGGCAAGTAGGGCAGGCCAGCGGGTGGAAACTGGTCTTTGGAGGATTTTGACGGCTTCTGGACCGGAGGCCAAGGAACACCAGGGAGGGACGCAGGATTCCCCTCCACATGCCCGGAACTCCCTGGAGTGTGAGCCTCCGCTCCCCTGGCAGAACAGCAGAACAGCACCCTCACAGCAAGAAGAATGGAATTGGAACCTGGGATAGAGAGACCCCCTTCTCCTGAACCGTGATTTGGAGTGCGCTTGCGCTTGGCAGGAGTTAGTGGAGACTCAGGGCTAGTGGGGTAGGGTCAAAGAATTGGCGCAATTGCTGCGTTTAGTGCTTGGCCGGTTGGCGCCTGTGGGGACCGTTGGGGCAGCGGGCGACGCACAGGGCTCAGCACTTCCCTCTGGGGCTCCCCATTCAGGTACAGGTGAGGTGAGTACTTCAGGGGGACCTGTCTGTGACATTGCCCCCCTGGGGTTACATGTGTCTTTGGAGGTGAGAGAAAAGATACTTAAGGGTGAGTGTGTGGACCTACTCTCCTTGGTCCCGTTTGACAAGGAGTCGGCGGATAGAGGCTGAGGGCGAAAAAGGTAAGCAGCTTCCCTTTGAGAATTGGTTGCAAGGATTTGCTACCTATCCTAGCATCCTATTTTAGGTTTCCGGAAAAGGCCCTGTCACTGTTTTTTTATTTGGACTTGATTTGGGGGCTTATAAGGTGTACAGGGGGCAATGCTGGTTTAAATACGACCGGCAGTTTAGAAAAAAAAAAAAAATATGGCGGTTAGACCAAACCTGGATTTTGGTGTGCAAGATGGAAACCTGTGGTTGCTTCTCATTAATCCGGTCATCCGTCTGCATCTTACTTTCTGTCGGCCGCCGGTCAGTTCCGGAGGAGCGTTGACTCGTCACAAGAAGGGCATCTGTTGGCTCTTAACGAGAGCCACTGCAAAGGGTACAGCAGTTGTAGGTTTAAGCATGAGTGCTCCTACTGTGGTGGGCCTCACCCAGCATTCCGTTGGTTTTTAAGAGGTGAAAATCCCGCCCGAGGTCGGCGTCCAAGGATGACGTTCCTCGGGGAGAGGCCGCCAGCGAGGGCGGAGTGACTGGTGCCGTGGCTCACACTCTATCTCAGGTGTTCCTGTTTACTCCATCGGGGAAGGCGTCATTGCGCCTAACCTGTCTTCCCTTCGGGGTAAGGAGGGGGTCCTGGCAGCCGAGCTAGGGAAGGCGGTGGAGCTGGGGCGTATGGCAGAAATCTGTCTTACCCATCGGGGTCCTCAGTTCATGATGGGATTAAGGAGGACTGTCGGGTGCGATACGCTTCTTTCGATCAGGCTTTGGACTTGGTTGCCCTATTGACGACGTCTGATACCCAGTCGGCTTTTCGGTTGCTGCCAGTTTACCCAGATTGTTTTCATCTGTTGGGGTGTCAGTTTCAGGGTAATTTTTATTCGACATGTGCCTTCTCATGGGTTGTTCAATTTCTTATTTTTATTTTGCTGTTTTCAGTTCCTTGTTGGAATGGATCGTGGCGTGGGTGTCGGGCTGTTCTTTCTTTCTTCCTATCCCCTTTCCCTCTTCTTTTTCTTTCCCCTTTCCCTCTTCTTTTTCTTTCCCCTTTCCCTCCTCTTTTTCTTTCCCCTTTCCCTCTTCTTTTTCTTTTCCCTTTCCCTCTTCTTTTTCTTTTCCCTTTCCCTCTTCTTTTTCTTTCCCCTTTCCCTCTTTTTCTTTCCCCTTTCCCTCTTCTTTTTCTTTCCCCTTCCCCTTTCCTTCTCCTTTTTTCTTTCCCCTTTCCCTTTCTCCTTCCCCTTTCCTTCTTCTTTTTCTTTCCCCTTCCCCTTTCCTTCTTTGTTGGGCTAATTCCTCACAGTGTAGCAGTTTGTCAATCTCTTTTCCACTAGTCGGGTTCTCAGGTTTGTACGGACTTGTTCCACTTTCATAGGGTTATGGTGGATTTTGGGGTTCCAGAGGCTGTGGAGAAAACGGAGGGCCCTAGTACGATTATTACTTCCTGGTGATTTAGAGTTGGCTAATAAAGTGTTTCACTTGCCGGAGACCAAGCTTCAGGTTGTCATCTCTAGTGGATCAGGTTCGAGGGGCTCCCTATTGGGCTATTTGAATTCTGCAATCACTACAGGGCCATTTGAATTTTGGCTGTAGGTCATGCCCATGGGCGTGCTTTCAGTCACTGACTTTCCTTGGCTGTGGTTGGTATTCCTCTACCTTAACTTTACTCGCCTTTTGGGAGTTTGGAGTCTTGTTTCTTGTGTGTTACAGTGGTCAGACATTTTGGCACAGTTAAACAGTGTCTAACTTGGCCTTTGAGCTGTTCACAAAGGCAGCGGCTTGGTTGGTTTTGGTGCTTTTTTTCTGAGGGCTATGATGTGTGGGCCATTGGGGTGGTCAGATTCCTTTTTGGAGCTATTCCCTATTGTAGTGTCGGTCAAGCTCTGGGTCTCAGCTTGTTCTTTTCCGTACAGATAACCTTAGTTCGGTTCAAGTCATTAACCAGTTATCTTTGAGATTTTGCGACTGTTGGTTTGAGTGCAGGTGCCAGGTGTCTAGTGTATTGCCTTCTCGCTTTCTCGCTTCCAGTAGGATGAATTTCAGGAGATGACTCCAGAGGCTTGTGGAGGGCCCTGAATGCTTCTGGAACCTCAGTTTCGGAACTTGACTGACTTGATTGAAAGGTCCCTGTCTCCTAAGTCTTGGGCAGCATACCTGACAGTGTGGGATCAATTTGGTTGGTCTTCTTCAGAAAGTAGGTTGTTATTCACTTAGCCTTTCTTTCTGACTTGCAGCATCGAGGGACATCCGTGTCAGTGGAACAGGGTATGTCAGCTCTTTCAATCTTAATGCACTTTATGTGAGGGGAAGATGTGACTAAAGCATTTGTGGTTCAGGTATTGCACTGTTGGAGACAAACTGATGGCGGTCGTTGGGCACCTTGTATTTGTATTTGAGCACTTGCTGGGAGACATAGGTGGGATCCTGCCTGCTATTTATGTTTCCCCATTGGAGGCAATTCTGTTTCGGGTGGTCTTTTCTGTGTGTTTTTATGCAACTCCATGGGTTGGCAGATTGGTGGAGGTCTAGAGCTCAGTCACCTCTTCTTTAGTTTAAAAAAGTGGAATTTCTATTTGGCGATGTAATACTGATCAAATGGGTAGTGGTAGAATGATTAGGATTGGAGCGACCACAATTTGGAGATTCGTTCCAGTGCATGCATATGGGTTCTTATCAATTCACTAGAGTATTTATGTTCGTGTTGCACTCAATAGGAGTGGATAATACTGTATTGCGCTTGTTAGGAGTGGATGATAGTGGTTATTCAACTCATTCATTCCGCATTGGTCTGACTCTGCAGGCAAGCAGGGTAGGTCTGTCAGACTCTTCCATTTGGTTGCTAGGTCACTGGGAATCAAGCAGGTTTTCGATTGTATATTCGGCTTTTAAAAGGTGCTTTTATAGGTGCCTGGTTATGTTTAATGCTCGGTTTATTTATTTATTGCTAGATATTCTCTATATGTTTGGATCCTTGAGCATTCTTTTATTTATTGGGCAGCTTGTCAGGTAGACCAGAGGTCGTATGACCCGGATCTTGCGATTACTCATCACCAGGTCAATATTAGGTGGTGTAGGATCAGGGGGTTGCGCTGTCAGCAATTTTATTTGGAGTGATCGCTTTGGCGATATGTGACGGAACCAGTTATATTGCTGATTCTGCTGATCCCCGCTGGTGGTAATTACCTGGGTCAAGAGCGCGCAACGCAAAAAGGGGTATAGTGAGGTGGATGTCGCTTCAACATGACCATATCATGATTCGTACAATGCTTGGGTGGATTGGTGATTCCTCATGTTGAATTAGAAGGAGAACCATAATTCTCTGCGTACTGATTTGGTACATCTTACTCATGTTGGTTTGGATACATTTAATATGGGATTACAATCAATAATTACAGGCGCTGGCTTTGGGGGACGTGTCCCCCCTCCCTCTAGTAGGGGTGGGGGTCTTCGGTGGCGGGTTTCCTGCGCCAGCAAGTTTGGTAAATGAATAATGCCCGGATGGGCTTGGGGAGTTGCAGCCTGAATTTGGCTGATGACGAAGGACAGGCTGAAGAGGCTCTGGAAGAAGTTTAAAGTGTAACTGTCTGCTGGGTAAAACCAGCAGCTGTGACAGTATTTGGTTTTGCTGGTTTAAATAAAGCTGTGGCCGTTGCCCTTACCCATTTAACATGGTGTTGCCTTACTTATTGGGAATGGAAGGGTAACGGGATTTGGTGATCGAAGGAGTCAGCAGTCATGTCATCTACTGTACTGATTGTATTAGGTCAATATGTTGCTTCATTTTGCTCACAGAGCCAGATAGTGAGGGAATTGGGATAGGTCTCTGAAAGTACTATCTTTCTTTTGTGTACTGTGACAGTAATTAAATGAGGACAGTGTGTCAAACCAGGCTTCACTAACACACAATTACAGCTTCTACAGACGCAGTCACTGTCGTCTCGTTATGAGAGAAATTATTTTTAGACACCATACTAACCTAGAATAAAATGGGTGTGGCCCTCATTTTATATCAAGATACAAGCAATAAACAGTACATGAGACATGGAGTCCCAATTCTGATAAACTCTCAGAGGCAGATTCACTTGCGGGAAAAAAAAGTATAGGTTAGAAGACCGTTTTGGCATGAATCAGTGCCTTAAATGAGGAGCAACAGTCTTAGAAAAAAATCGCATTTTGATAAACAATGTTGAAATGTACGATCACAGATCTGGCATTGAACACACCTAGGAAAATTTACAAACGCGCTTACACTAACATCTTTTAAAATATAATTCTCTAATAGCCCATTTACAAAGATTCCATGGAGCCGTTGAGCTCTAACACAGGCACTCTGGAAGCCCTAACTTCCACAGCATTTAAAGTGGTCCATTCAAAAAATGTGGATAACAAAGTCTGCTTCAGGCAGAAGTTAAATTGTATGGTCTACCTTACACAAGTGTAATAGATGAGAAAGGTGCACATTAAAAGTTATATTTATCTGTTGTTTTCTCCTCCAAATTAGCCACCTCGATGGATGATGGGATATTGGCATTATGGGTTGATGCAGATGTGTGCACAACAGTCTCATAGTTGTAATCTATAAATTAAATATAACCATAAGAATCTATACATCTGCTAGAGCATGGTTGTTAAACTTGTTTGTTCTGCAGGGCCAAATGTCCACTGAGTTAGTAGTGGGGACGTAAAATTTATACATACAAACAAGAAAAAGAGTGGGCATGAAGAATAACTTCACATTATGTTTTAAATGGCATTTATTGCTTCAAATGGTGTGCAGTGTTGGCATTTGTTCCCTATTAAGGGTTAATAAGTATATAGGGGTGTATATACAAAATACCCCTTTCTGTCTCATTAGAGATATCTTTGCCAGAAGCTCAAGGAAGCAAGGTGAAGGGTCAGAGTAGGACCCGTCTAGGGGGGGTCTGCCTTGATGTTGGCAGGTGGGCATTCTCTCCAGTGGTCATTGAAGTAACTAAATGACCTCCATTTTTTTAAATATACATAGGGATTAAGGAGAGAGCGCAGGTAACCTTTTTTTTTTTCCTTTTTTTTTTACTATATGTATTGTAGCTGATGTGTACTGTGGTTGTTGCTGCCGCCCAGGAGTGATGGGAGAGAGCGCAGGTAACTTTTTTTCTTTGATTTTTACTATATGTATTCAGTTGTATGTTTATGTACTGTTGCCAATCGAAAGCAGGGATGTATTTGTGTGTGCGTTTAAATGCAGGGGTGTGTCTTTTTAGTAATGGTGTTTGAATTCAGGACTGTTCGCATGTTTGAATGCTGGTGTACATGTATGCAGTGTTGGTGTTTCAATGCTGGGATGTAGGCACAGCTACACACAGTGATACACACACTGGCACAGATATGAGCACACACTCCCAGAGGCTCCTGCTGCTCCAATCGAAGTCCCCAACCGCTCCTGCATCCAGGCCACACCGCGGTCTGTCACAGCCACCTGGAAACTGGCAATGAAGGCCTCCACATCCCGGTCTGCATCCATGGAACCTGGAAGACAAAAGACACAAATTCCACACCAATGTGCTGCTGGACAACAAGTAGTAAGTGGGAATTCAATTTAAAATGTCTCTCTAAAAATGGCCGCTATTTAATGGCCGAACTAGGCCCACCGCTAACAGAATTAAACTAGTCCACTAAGCCAAAGCCCACTTCACTTAGCTTTGCTGTTCCCTGGGCTTCATTCAGACATAGGTACACATACACACATATAAGTAACAATTAACATAGCTTTAGCCATAGTTTTAATTTTCCCTACCTTCTCGTGTGTGTGTGTGTGTGTGTGTGTACCTGCTCCTGCCTTCCCGCACAGCTTTCAGCAAGCCGAGAAAGTGACCTGAACTCACTTCCTCCAGCAGGTTTAGTGGGGGGAATAATGCTGTGACAGGGTCCCGGTCTGTTGCACTATTGAAGGGTGACTGGGCCTCTGAAGAAATTTCCGGAGTCCCACAATGACCCGATGGGCCTCCACCACTGCCCTCACTCACCAAATTGCACACCGAGTACCTCCGGCAAGTCTGCTTACTAGTTGCTTTCAGGTACCCTGGAACGCTTCAGTCCCAGTCACCAAAGCTTGACTTGGGGCTCTCTGGAAATCTTCCACCCAACCAGGTGTATCAGCATGTGTGTCAGTGTGTACCCCTATATATCTGTCATTCTGTGTATCTGAATGTTTGTCATTAAGTGTGTCTCTGTATCCACATGTTTGCTGTATGTGTATCTGTTTGTCTGTATTTGTATCTTTTTCTCTGCATATGTGTCTGTATGTGTATCTGCATGTGTGTCTGTTTGTCTGTATGTATGTGTATCTGATTGTCTGCATGTGTGTCAGTATGTGCCCCTAAGTATCTGTATGTGTGTCACTGTTTGTATCTGTTGAAGTGTCATTCTGTGTATCTTAATGTGTATCATTCTGTGTGTCTGTCTATCAGCATGTGTGTCCGTGTATGTATCCGTATATTGTGTTATATTGTGTGTATCTGCATGTATGTCAGTGTGTTTGTCTGTTTATCTGTATGTGTCAGTGTATGTGTCAGTGTTTATCTGTATATCTGTCACCCCCCCCCACACACACAAACTCTCACCCCCTTTATCCTGCCACCCTCAAAATAACTCCCCCAATGCCTATCACTCACCCACCTGGGAGGCGTGAATGAAACACATGGAGTAACTGGGGGGCGTGAATGAAACACATGGAGGGTCGGTGTAAGATGCATGGGGGGACCCAGGGCAGTCTTCGCAACTGGGGCCCTTTGGTTTCTTGTTACGCCTCTGTATGCACATACTATTGTACATTCACAGTTTATGTGGCTGGCGACTCCTGGTGCAGTATGCAGTGCATTGTGAGTGACCATATGTCAGTCTATGCTTCCTTGCCATCTCTGAGTCCCCAGTCTGGCGCTATATTCAGCCGCCAAGCTTTACACCAGCTTCAAGACATATCCGCACACTGCCCCTACCTGGGGTTCCTGATTCCAGCTGCTACATCACCGCCTCTTAGCTTCTTTCCCAGAGTGACCGCACAGGAAGAACAGCTAACATTGCTACGGACCTAAATCGGTGGCTCACGTTCCACAGCCCTGTGCTAGAGGTTAGGCTTACATAATGTACAGATTTTAGAATTGTGCTTTATAATTTTATAACATTTTGCATGAAAGCCTGACTTACCATATATTGAAACAGTTTGTTAACCTATAAAATATTTTTAGAGAAATCACTGTTTAGTAAGCTCTTATGTAATCATATAAATGCAAAATATGAAAGGGATCAGCTAAATTACATGGCCATGAGAGTTTGGGAAGGTTACCTATTTTTTTATGCTTAGACAGGTATCAATATGGAAAATTATTTCATACTTACCATAATTTTATTTTTCTGATCATTATACATTGCAGCATTTACTCATGTGAGAGGAGAAGCAAACCCAGAGGAAATGCCGCCAGGTATGATCAGGAATCAACATTTATAGTTCCAGAGAGGGTGCTGTATTTCTGGCACTAAATGTGTTAAAAAAAAAAAAAAAGCAGGCAATTGGTATCCAGAAACTTTTCAGCAGCTATACAACCCTGTCTGAAGTCTGAAGATTGGAAGATATATTTCCTCTACTAAAGATTCTAAACAAGCTTCCAGATAAATATATTAATACAGGCATACCCCACTTTTAAGTACACAATGGGACCAGAGCCTGTATGTAAAACGAAAATGTACTTAAAGTGAAGCAATACCTTTTTTTCACTTCCCAATGCATGTACTGCATTGCAATAGTAATTTTATTAAAGACACGGAGGCTCCTATTATGCTTCTCTTTCTTTAATTTCCCTCAGCAGCGAAGAGAGATATATGTAAAGAAACGAGAAAAATTAACATAATATTATCATATTCATAGTGCTACCAAAGGTATCCACCCCCTTAGTATATAAGGTGTAGCACTCCCTTCCTCTTCCTCTTTCTTCGCTGCTCCCTCAGACCAGCTAAGTACATTTTCTCTGCTCCATTATATTTGATTATTCATTGTGGGATTTTGTATACTATCCCTACTCAGGGATTTTTATTGTTGTTATTGCTCCCATTAGCCTTTTATTATCTGGGTTTCTGTCCCTGTATGCATTTATGTGATTTCCTTTTTTCAGTATTGTCTACCCCACCTTGCCTTGCTAGGCAGGTTGGTCTTTACCCTTTCCCCACCTCTGGGTGGGAGTTTTTTCTCCCTAATTCTCTTGCCTGTGCCAACCTCTCTGTTAGCCGGGAATCCGCAGCGAGGGCTTACCAGAGGGCTACCTCGCTCGGTTCCCGGCTCCCTGCTTGTATACGCCGCCGGCTCTGCTCGGCCGCGCGGCGGTTTTTTACTTTCGCTTTCGTTTATG